CATCACAAAATTTTGGGCAAATAAGAAGTAACCACCCAAGGTATTGCCTCGCATTTGAGATGAGACTCCAGTCATTACGTAAGACCTGTTGAGACTAGAAGTTGTCTGACTTTTTTTTAAATACTAAGCCAAAGGTAAAAGAAATCCTGTGTAATAGACATTATTCCAAAATAGCAACGCATGAAGAAAAATCTTTCTATGCTTCTTCTGGTCTCGATAGACCCTACGTAATGACTCAAGTGTCACCTCAATCACTAGGTATCATCTCGAGCGATTCGTAAGCCGATCTTCACAGAAGTGCCACCCATGCTGGATGAAACACTGAAGGTATTGTTGAATGTCAATGTATGGCTTTGGCTTCAAAATGTACAGAACTTGAATATGTTTTTTCAAAAGAAAGAAACATATGTCGATATATATTAATAATCACAAAGTAATAAGACTGACTGAGAATATTTCTCGAGTTGTTCGAAATACAAACATTGGTAAATTTTATATCTTGAAAGCAAAAAAAAAAAGTAGGGAGGGAAAACATCTAAAAGCTTTGAAAATTATTTTTTTTTTCTTTGAAAATATTTACTTTACATATAAAGCAAATCGTATTTGTTTATGATAATTTGAAACAATATTAAGAAAGTTCATGGAACTTCCGAAGTCTAAGGATGTTCGAAAGCATACACTTAGAAATAAATGTTCAAGCATGATACTAAATACTACCAAACATGTAAAGAAATTAGCAATGATGATTATTTTTTTGTGTAATTTATATCGATTAATGCTTGAAAAAGTTAATCGTGTCAAAAAAACCAGTCATCATCATAATTGATTTGTGCCCTCGATGACTTCATCGCAGCCCGCAAAATATGACATGTCTCAACAGTATGATCACTGAAACGGTGACACACTTGTATAGGTTTAATTCCAGGTAGGTATGTATATAAAATGATAGAAAGGTAATTATTCATTCATCTATTAATTTAACTGTTTACCTATTTATCTAGTTATTGGATCATATACATAATATGAGCAAAATTTTAATAATAATGTCACTGAGATTGGTTGTGAATTTATGGCATGATATAAGAATTGATACTTTTTTATCGGTAATATGAATATTCATGTTATACACAATTTACAATCAGACGACAGTTATCCACAACGCTATGATTAAGTACATACTGTCTATTTGAACCTAATGCGACATATGATAGTGAGAAAAATCTATAGGAAAGAAAAAATTAGAGATGCTCACATGGCAAGGTAATCCTGCCCTGTCCTGCTTCAGGACAGAGTAAGGTAGCGCAGGGTGCAGGATGGGACAAGGTAACATTTTCATATCCTGCGAATTTGAACATCATGTTTCTGTGTTTTTATTTTCAAATGAGAGTTTATTGGAGCCCTTGTGAGTCGAAAACCGATGATTTCTTTTTACAGAGGGCGATATCCGCTGGTATTTAGAGTTGTTCTCTAGTTCAACTGTTAGTTATTCATATTGTAAAATGCATTTAAATAAAATAATTTTTCATAATAAAATGTACAAATGTTGTTGCAATTGAATTGAATTTAAAAATGACAATAAGAGAGCATATCGATCTACAGGATGCTCTGCCCTGCTCGGTTCAGTGCAGCAGGAAAGGACAAAGTGTGAAAATTCACTCGGTGACTATCTCTGGAATACATACACATATTCAAAGCTCTAAATATCAGCTTATAGGAAGAATTAATGATTTAAATTTAATATTTACAAATATTTGTAAGAGAATACTAAGCAATTTGAAAATAGTGTATTAACAAGACAAAGAAAAATACACATACAATGAAAAAAATAATCCTTAAACAAACAACGACGACAAAGTCATCATAGTCTAAATGCATATACAATAGGTAATTTTATCTATGTTCAACTGTTTGCATTACAATAGTACTCTCTCTGTATGAATTTAAACGTCGACCAATACGTTGTTGACGATTAACATTTTCATGTGAAACACTTCTTTTTGGAAAACAATTTCTCTTAATAAGTTTTGTTTCATGATAAAATAAAAATGTTATACAATCAAGCCATGGTAATGTTGTAAAATAAATTAAAAATATTCTTTGATATATATCTATTGATATATTAAAAAGTCTCATAGTTAATACAGGTAGAGTAGCGATCATATTACTTATGACAAATAAATAAACAGTACGAATACGTTTTAAACTAAGATTAACCATTAATGAACGTTCAGATTGTTTAAAATTTGTGAAAACTAATGAAGAAAAAAAGATAGTTGCTAAAGTTTTTTGTTTAAGATGATATATATCGCTATATGACATATAAATCCATGAATATGTTAATAAATCAATTAAAATAAACAAAACATAAACAATCATTGTCGGTATAAAAGTTTTTTCATCATGAAAATCCTTAATAAAAATAAATTTTTTTTTTGTCGTTATTCGACATATTTCAATAATAAGAGAATTTTCATCATTCATTATTGAATGTATTGAAAGAAGAAGAATTGATACAAAATAATTAAAAGCTATACCAAATATTAAACAACATTTTGAATAAAGTGTACTTTTATGATTTACTGTTGAATCCCAAAAATGTGCTGTTTCACCAATAATAATTAATAATAAATCAAATGTTGAAAGTAATAATAGAAAATGAACAAAGATTTCAATTGATAGACATTGATTAAAAATAATTATAGATGAACAAGAAAAAAATATTACTACACATCGAATTATGCATACAATTAAATGATGAAATATAAAGAAATTATAGATTGGATGTTTATTCGATAGTTTCTTACAATAATAATTCATTATTATATTCCACATTCCAATTAACAGTTGAATAATGAAAATAATAGTCAATACAATACTAAAACTCATCAATATGAACAAATGCAAAATCGAAACGAGATGTACTGTTGTCATAGTTCGTATGCTATTTTCTATGATTACTCGCTAACTGTATTTAAATGTTTGTGTGAGTAGTATGTAGTATGGTAGCAAACAAATAAAATGAACTAATGGTTAAGCAAATATACGATTGACATCCTTCCTCGCATCTTATGTTTCATACGATGATTGATGCGAGCTTTTTTCTCTATTCGTTATATTCTTATATAAATATCCTCTGAGATTTTGCTATTCTTTTCTGTTCAAAACAGCTTATCAAGTTACATACAATCGATGAAAATAATTCTTTCTCAAAAAGTCATAAATTCTTTGTAACAAAATATTAATTCGAAAACAGATTGGACGATAAACAGAAATGAATCGCATTGATTCTTACCGCGTTTTGCTACTAAATCATAGTTTGATCCATACGTAGGTGTTTCTTGTATATCAATATTAATAAACACTTCTTCTTGCTCATTCTATATAAAATAAATAAATAAAAACAATTATAATAAATTGTATTTATTGAAATATCACACTACTGAATTAACTTACCTCTTTTAATTTTTCAATATTTCGATAATAAGCTTTTTGCAAGAGTTCCGTAAAGAAAAATATTAATAATACCTTTAAGAAAAAAAAAGATACTATTGACTTCTATAAAAGAAAGAGCATGAATTAGTTTACTTGAACAAAATAGCTGATGAAAATACAAATGAGAAATGGTCCGAAACCACTGTGAGATAATGTTGTTGGTAGACCCAGAACACCTGTACCAAGAATTGTAGCAATTGTAACAAAATCTATTCACGCAAAAAAATTAGTTTAAAAAATTTAACTTCTATGATGAGTACAAAATTGTGAATAATGGAAAACCATTTGGTAAAGAATTTCGCCCAAACTCATTTTTTATATTTCAATTTTATACTAAATAGAAAATAAAATAATGCTGTCATGCATTGCAAAGTGAAAGTTAGTTTTTTTCATGTTGAATATATTTAACTAAAAATTAAATTTATCATTGAAGGAAAAAATAGATGTTGTAGTAGACGAAAACACGACGAGTGAAAACAAAGAAAGCACAAGACATACAAAGGTTAACGTATTTACAATAAAATCGACAGAGCATTAAGTACTGTAAAGAAAAAAAAACGCAGCTTGCTTATATAAATATTAAGTTCGTGTTATTATTGACAGAGCAAGTTTATAAGCAACCGTACTATACGTTGCATTAAACGCAATATGCATCGATCGATAGATCAAAAACAAAAATAACTTCAAGGTAACATTAATTTACTCTATTACTTTTTTTTTGTCACTTGAATAATTAATTTTTTCGGTTATTCTATTGACCAATCATAATCGAGAAACAATATTTTTCGGGATTGGTTAGATATACTGATCAATTGGGATTTATTTATAAAGAATATTGTTTGTTTTTATTTTAACGATATGTTTCAACTTCATAAAATCGTATTCACACATTAATTAAATGATTTATTTGCAATCAGTACTAGTTTATATATACTTTTTATTTATACTACTATGGTTATTATTTATATGTGATGTTGTTATTTGAAAATACTTTTCTTCTATTAGCAAACAAACTAATTCTATTATTTGCAAAGTCTTAGTTAAAACAATCTCAAAAATGCATAAGCTTTATAATCTAAACTGAAAATTTATTTAGAATAAATATTTTTTTATCACATTAATTATAAACAAATGGAATATATTGTACATGAAAATTTTTAAACTCATATGTAATTGAAGATTATTTATTTAAGAATTTTTTTTTTCTTTTTATAGTTATTATATCTCTTATACTCATAAATAATTTAATTCGATTTATAATATCGATGAATACAAAACAATAATTGATCATTTTCGAATTTCAGTTCAATATCAATCTGTTATCTTGCATCAAATAAACGACAACTAGTTTTTATTTCTTATTTATTCGACCTTGATGATATTAAAACGACCAGTAAGTTTTAATAAATTTAATAGTATTATTGGCTTAAAAATATTCAATCTCAATCTTCTTATTTAAATCAATATATTCTTGTAAAATATTCGATCATGAAACAAAATAACAATGATCACTTAAATGAATTTTTTTTACGTTGCCAATCCTGAAGCATTATCGTTGCTGCATTAAAACCTGGCATACCGGTAACTCCTCCTATATTTCAAAAAAAGTAAAAAAGCTTTCATTTGCATCAAATAATTTTACCTCCGGGATGTGTTGAACTTCCACATAGATAAAGACCATGAATAGGTGTTCGATGATTTGAACATGAAATTGCTGGTCGAAATGAATAAAGTTGATCAAGTGAAAGTGCGCCATGAAAAATATTTCCACCTTGTTTTTTTTTAATTTTTCAAACATTTGAAGCAGAAAATTTTAAATAGGAATTTTTACCTGTTAATGAAAATTGTTCTTCTAAGTCAGATGGAAAAAGCATATCACGTCCGATAATAAGCTTTTCAAAACCTGGTGCATATTCTTCAATTGATTTAATTACATTTTGATAATAGTTTTCTTTATATTCTTCTGTTATTTCAATTTGTTTACCATTGGGTAAACGATATGGTGTATATTGAGTAAATAGCAAAGCTACATGACAATTTTTTGGTGCTAATGTTGGATCAAGTGAAGAAGGAATAACCTAAAAAGAAAAAAATCAATTTACAAAACTTAAAAGTATGAAAATGTATAAGGGCCAGTTTTCATCCATTTCAGTTTTTCTCAAAAAGAAACATAAAAATTACGAGCGTTTTTGTAACGTTTGAGTTGGCAAATTTAATCGTGCATAAATTTTGCCGCTAAGTCTTAAATTATACATACTTATGCTTCTTACAAGTTTGCTCATTACCATAATATTTCTTGTTATCGAGATCAAAGAGTATAGCTGCTTCTTCTGAGATAGAGTCACTCGTCAATCAGCTCATTCATAGTCAGATCAAAAAAGTACGATTTGAGCTGCATTTTGGTACCAAAAGATTATATACATGATCTTTCATTGAGTCAAGAGTTGACGGAGAAGAATATCTTGAGCAGTCTAGATCGCTTATACATGTTTTAAAGTGTTCAATTAACTTTTATTTTTGTGAAAAAATTCATCTCGACTTCTCGTCTGGGTTCAGTCAAAAAAAAATGAAATTAATCATAATACCAATTTTAAAACGTACTCATCTGCTTTTTTTGTGCCCCCTTTTTTTAAATTGTTTTACAAGATCAGAATTTGTTGTTCAATTGTCCAATGAAATTTTGTTTGTAGCTGAATGCTAAGAGAGAGAGCAGAGATGAACTTTTTGATGAAAATAAAACTTGTTTGAACACTAACTAAGCATTCATAGATGAACTCAAGTTTTGAAGCTGATTTCGAATATGTTATTTGTATTGACTAGAAATATAACAAGTCTGAGAAAAACCTGCAAATATGATATCTAGAAATGATTACTTTCACCTAGTCAAAGAGAAGAATCTTGACTTCGAACATATGGCCATATTTTCTCGCTAGCAAGTTACACATCCTTTTGTAACTCGTCATATATTTTACTAGCATTGAAATATTAATGATATATTCATTCTTATTTTCTATGATATTAGGCTCTCAAGATTGATTACTATAACCTTTGTATATCAAAATGCAGCGTAAGTCATTCTCTATTGTTTACAGTACAGATAAATTAATTGGCTTGTGACTCCATTTCAGAAGAAGCATCTGTCCTCTCTGCTTACAAGAATAAGAAATGTTATGGTGATGACTAAGTTTGTAAGAAACATAAGTATTCATAAGTTTAGACTTAGGAAAAACTCAGTGAATCAAAACTGGTCACTATGCTCCTCTGTCGTTTATTTTTGAATAACAACCATTTCAATTAATGGATGTTGACTAGGTTTTCCATTTAATGCTTCTAGATAAGCATTTTGTAAATTAGACAGTGATTCACTATTCATATGTATTGTACATTGATGATGAGGTTCAAGTTCATTATAATTTTTATTTGGATTGGCAAGAAAATTTCTAAAAAAAGAAAATTTTAATTAGGCTAATTAGTATACGTTTTTTTTCCTTAATTATTTACGGTAATCCTGATAGAGCAAGATTTATTTTTGTTGTTCCACTTGTATAATCCATTTGTAAAATATGTTTTTTTAATTCATCTAATTCTTTATTTGTTTTAATAATATCATTTAGAATTAAATTTTTAAATGTAACATATGCTGTTGCATTTGAAGCAACGATTTTTCCTTTAATTTCTTCACCATTATCAAGTACAATACCTTCGACTTTTGAATTACGTATATCTATATGATTAACATTACAATTTGTACGTATTTCAACACCTAGCGAACGAGCTGATGATGCTATAGCATTACTTATACCACCCATTCCACCTTGAACATAACACCAAGCATCTGAAAATGAATTTTATTTCTTTTAATTTCAAATGAATATTGTTACAAAATCAATTATATATTCCGATATAGCGTGGAGTTCTCTAAAACCCTAAATATATGCGTTTTGAATTACACTTGTTGTTTCTTTTTCATTACTTGACTTACAATTATTTGATAACAACTATTTCAATTATTGTTAGTGTACACTCATTCTCATACCATAATATTCAAGTACTCCCTATAATTTATACAGCAGTCCACGAATATTTACCTACTAATCAAATAAGATGTATACATAATTATTCACTACTGGTTAAACATATAGGATGATAGAGAATTTCATGCGCTTTTTAAATATATACTTGGTTTTGTAACAACCTTTTCGTATCTTTTACTAATAAACAAGAATGTATTTCCCTAGAATTTGATGATGAGAATGTCTTCACTATGCTTGAATTTCTTTTTTAGTTAATCAGTACAATTTAAAACGTACATGTATAGGTTTGCAGCGAATTCTGCGTGTTATCAGAATATATAATTAGTGTTATAAGAATATTAATTAATAACAATGATATTTTAAGGATATTAAGTTTAACTATTTTTTTCACGGAGAATATAAAAAACAAAAGATGATTTGTTTACTTTCATAATTTCCCTAGTGAAACATTGTTTATCTTAGATTATTATTTTTCTTTAGTTATTTATGCATAGTTAACAGAAAATTTCAGATAATATGATAATAGAAAGTGATTTAATTGATTTATAGAAAATATTTATTGAATTTCGAGTAATCATAGACATAGAACAATTTAGATGAATTATCTAACTTCATTTGAATAAAATCTTTAGTAATGTTTGTGACCTAGATAAATCTTTTCTATTTGTTCATCTGTTTGACCTTATCAGAATATTATTACTTTCAGTACTGAATAAATGCCATTTAACACTTATTTAATCGAGTTACCATCTCAAGGGAAGATTGGCATATCTAGGGATGTGTAGTGTTGTCGTAAATATGGAGCCGTGATTCATCAACACAAAGTCGATTGAGGCACTGATTGCATTGACATCCGCATCCGGTCCAACATTAAGACACTAATTCTATTAATATATAGCCTCATTTTTTGTTGCAGTGAGTGTCTAATGTCAGTGTGTACTAACTACACTAAGTCGATGGTCAGTAAGCTGAAACTGCATATCCGTAGACATATCAACAGTTGTCATTTTGTAAATTCTAGAGATTAGTTGTTTGTTTTCTGTGATATAGATTTGGTGATTTAATTTATATTAAGTCAAACAATATAAAAAATACATTTAATTTCAAGTCTTTTAATGATATTAATGGAGCGGAAAACAATGTTATTAAAAACACATATCTTTATAATAAAGCTATCAGTACGACCCCTGTGGGATTAAAATATGAAACACGATATAGCTGCTATTGCTAATCACCAGAAGATTGTTTTACTTTATCTATCTTGGGACACATTCCTTCGCCATCTTTTTTACTTAAACCTCGACAGATGCAATAAGAGAGTAGTTCATATAGTATAACGAGTAGTTATTGATATACAGTTTGTGATGCGAGAAGGGGGAGAGAAAAGTTCGAACTTTTACTTCTGTACAAAAACAATTTATTTGTCAATATAACGATTTTCGAGGTACGTATTATCTTTTCTTTTTGTCCTTTGTCTTCTTTGCACGCTTTCAATTACAAATAGAAGTAACCCCAAAAAGTTGTTTCAGTGACTTACTAGGTCGTCCATCTAAACCGCCCATGACATGATGAAGTAAAATATAACCAGTTCCACTATCATGAGGACCAAGCATAGCACCAATAAGACCATCAGTAGCTAAGGTAGCTTTAATAACATCTGATTCAAACCATTTATTTAATATTCGACTTGCTGGTGAAGTTAATAATTGATATAAATCCACCGAACCGTTGAAACCAAGGTTTTTAAATAAATTATAGAAAATTTTCATTGAATAATTATACGCACGAAAACGATCTAAAATTTTATTTTTTTGATTCATTCGATTAAGATCAGGTGGAGGTGAATAAATAAGTTCATCAATAGCTCGACATATTTTTGTTAACCATTCTTCATATATATGATAATTTTCTGCATCTTTTTTTGAAAATTGAGCAATTTGTTTCATATTAAATTGATTATCTGATGATGATAATAATAATGAACGTTGATTATTATTAATTGGATTTTTTATTGGTGTATATGAACTTGGATCACGAAAATAATATTTTAAACCATGTTCACGTAAATTTAAATCATCAATTATTTTTTGACGAAATAAACTTAATAAATAAGATGCACGAGAAAATTTAAAATTATTTACTATTTCTTCTGTGCATGCAGCACCACCAATAACTGATCGTTTTTCACAAACAAGTACACGTAAACCTTGTCGAGCTAAATAAGCCGAAGTAACAAGACCATTATGTCCAGCACCAACTATTATTACATCGTACGCTTTCTTCATTGTTATTTGATGTGTTTGTGTGAATTTGTTAACTTTTTTTTCTACAGATTCGTTATCATTGTCCTTGTTTTAGATAAACTATCAGAAATAATAATAAAGAAAAAAAAGAATTATCATGATTATGAATAATGTTTATTAGACTATTGAAACCATCAAATGATGAGAAAAATCAAACGAATCATTCACAAACACTTTGGAGGTGTGATCAACTTTTTGGTCATGCTTATTTTAGTTGCCATCACTGTTATTTTTATTAATACATTTGTTCTTACAAAACGAGATCGTAAGTTTTTTGTTAGTTTGATAATTTAATAATTAATTCGTTTTTATTTTTAGCATCTGATGAGTTACCTAATGAAGGTCCTCCTAAAATTGAATTAATTCATAATCAAAATCAAACAATAAAATATAATAAACCAAATTTAATTGAACGACAACGAATTCAAAGACCACCGATACCCGATGCAGGTAAATAAATATACTGATTAAAATAAATTATTTATAATTATTTACTTTTCTTTGCTTTTTTAGGATGTGAAATTGATGAAAAATGTTCCGATGATGCTATTCCATATAAGATTATTTCAGGAGATGGAGTTGAAAAATATCCAGTTATATGCTTTAATAATAAATTGTAAATATATATGAATATTATAATTTTACATCACTCGTTTTTTTTTGTTTTTTTAATATAGATTAGTACATAAAAATTTAAAAGATTCAAAAATTGGTCGCGGTATTAATTTAGTTGCACTTGATAATACAACATTGAATGTTAAATTAATAGACACATTTGATACTTATCTCGAAGGTAAATATTAAAAAAAACGATCTTTTTATTAAATAAAAACGAATTATTTCTTATTTTATTAGAAGCATTCTTTTTACGAACTCTTAAAATTAATTTAAATGATGGTGATATTGTTATTCTTGCTAGTTTTGATGAAATGACATATGGGTTAGTTAAGAAAATTTTCAAAAGAAAATATTCAAGCAATTTTAAATTTATTTCAGATTAAAAGAAGCATCATTATCTATATTAGAAAGATACGGTAGTCAACTGATAAAAATTATTAAATTTCGTGATTCATTTGTTATGCTTGGACAAAAGGGACTTGCACGTGGAAAAGCTATTGAAATGGTAGGATTTATTTTTATCAGTAGATGAACAAACTCATGAAATGATCTCAGACAGTTAGATTTAGGGATGCACCAATTCCAATTCCTAGAATTGTCGGAATTGGATTTGGAATTGGTTAGAATCGGTCTAAAAATATTGGTGATTCATCGACGATTTCTCGAAATATGTGCGAAATCAACGATTTTAAAAAACCCACTTCCGACCAATTCCAATTCCAATTCTTGCCAATTCTAACCAATTCCGATTCCGAATCCAGCCAATTCCAATCCCAATTCCAACCGATTCCAACCAATTTCGATTCCAATTCCAGCCAATTCCAATCAATTCTGCCAATTCCTAGTGAAGAATTGGAAGTGGAATTGGAATTGGTTGGAATAGGAATTGGTGCATCCCTAGTTAGATTGATTCAAGAAAATAAAATCGTCTTTCAAACTCCTACCTTTCGATTTCCTGTCGGTATGGAGTGCTACTTAGCGACAGATTCATTAGCTCGATATCTCCACCACAACTAGTACTAGCTCTAGATCTGAACAGAAAGCCGAATAATGCAGGATTCTTGTGTTCGATTACTTGAGCTTCGCATACATACTAACTAACCACAAGAGTAGGTGTATGTCACAACGCAGTTAGTATGATATCGAACGGGTGATTCGAAATAAACAGCTGTTAATGGTTTGTTCAGAATCCTTCTATGGCTACCCGTGCCGCAGTTTAAACATAGTATCGATTGGATACATGCACAACCGCGTAGCCACTCAGTCAAGAGGGTTTGACCATCTGATAACTACGAACAGTAGATATTCTAATTTTGCATATCGTTGTGCTTTCGATCATCAAAAGGTTAAATATACAAAAAGAATTAACGCGTTATTAGATGATTCTAAAAATGGTCTCATATCTTCAATGATAGTAAAACATTATTATATGAAAAAAATTATGTATGAAACGTTATCATCAACAATATGCGCAATAGGATAAGCTTAAACGCCATGATTTTTTAATCGCTGAAATTACAAAAAAAGTTTTCTGTGTAGCCAAATAATTGTCATATTCGTAAAATTGACGATTGTTCGAACAGAATTTTATATTTTTTATAAAACAAAAAAAAATACATTTATAAAATAAACTTTTCCTTGTAAATTGTAAAGTTTTGTTCAGTACATCTTGTAACATATTGTATTTTATGAAAACCCAGTTTAAAAAGAGTTGTGAAGTATATAGAGTAGAAATTTGCATCACCCATAGACTGTGGCAGATTTTATTAATTTGACAATAAAAGATCATGTATAAATAATGGTTCGTTTTAATATATGAACTACTTCCGTGTTATATTTTTAGAAGATTAAATGAAAAGATAGTGAAGAAACATGTTTCAAAATAGATAGATTAAAACAGTTTTTCTATGATTAGTAACAGCAACTATATCGTGTTTCATATTTTAATGCCATAGGGATTGTACTAACACTTTTTTTTTAATAAAATGTGTCAGGCGATGCAAAGATGACTTGCGAAAAGTGATCATTCATTATGACCAATACACTACAATTTAGGTTTTATCCTTTTATAAATATTTCATATGTAACTTTCAATAGAACTCGATTGTTTACTTTGCTTTTATCATGATTATCTATTTAATATTGGTAAACTTTTAAAAGCTCATAGTTTATTTTCTTTTTTAGCATCATCCAAAAGGAAATCGTGATTTTGCTCCTGCTGCACATATAAGTGGCTGTGCTAAATTTCCTTGTATGTTGTTTGCTATTTTGTTTTTTATTAATTTTAATATCTTTCTTTGTAATGTTTCATTATCTAGTGGGTCAAATAACACCATTATTATTTCCAAGTTCAGATATTAACAAAGAAGGAAAAATAGCTATTGGTACATCAATAAAAAATTGTGGTCTACTAGAAGCATGTAAAGAAAATGAATTTGCTGTACATATGTATACAGGCAAAGATAAAAATGATGAACCAAAAATATGTGTTGATGGAAAATATGTTATGGCAAAAGGTATTAATGATGCTGGACGTGGTATAAATATTGTTGTTGTTTCAAATGGAAAAGAAGTTATTCGTACAGGACATTTTGATACATGGCAAGAAGGTAAAATAAATAAATTTTATTGGTTTGTTGCTTATTTTATTTTATTTTATTTATTTGTTTTTCTCTAGATAGTACAAATTTAGAAATATTTCTCGAAAATCTTGAAGAAAATGTTATTCTTATAGCAGTTACATTTGATGAAGCATCAACAAAGTAAGTTATTCTAGTAGATTTTGTATGTATGTTAAAAGAATATTTAATATGATGTGGTTATAATTTATGTATGTATTATGCATATATATATATATATTTGTTTAGCTTACGAAATTTCACTCGGACTATATTACAAGGTATTGGCAGTCAGAAAATAGGTTCACTTGTTTTTCGTGATTCTTGGGCACTTATTCATCATTTCAAAACAAACATCGATTTTAACTTCGAAGAGGTGATGATATGAGTTATATGTATTTTCGTATAAGTGTTTCGAAAGAGAATGAGTGAGCAGAATTTTCCCGTTTATATATATATATATATAAAGATGAAAAATAAAAAAGTTGTACATATGCTTTTGATTTTATCTCTCTTTTTTTCTATTTATATATTTAGGATTAGTCAGCATTGTAGAAATCTTTTTTTTGATCTTGGCAGTGGAACTATACAAAATTTGAAATATCGCGATGCTTGGGCATTTGTGGGTCGAAAGGGCATCCAAGGTTTCAGCCCTTATGAAGAGGTTTGTCCTTCGAAAAGCTTCTAAATGACTGTTGTAAAAATAAATAAATAGAAATGCATTCGCTTTTATGGTGATAAGTTATATGGTTCTTTTTTGTCCTTAGCCATAATAATCCAATTAATATATTCTAAATGGTGCTAGTTATATTCAGAATTTTAATATATATATATATATAAACTTATTTTTTATTATAACGGGGAAATTGGATTCTGCTCAATCATTTGCTAGTATTTTGTATGCATGTCTTGTTGTAAATATGTTTTATTTCGTGATTAACGTGAATTTTTATATATGAACATGTATTTAGATTTCACATGCAGGCACTGGAAATGTTTATGCGCCTCCAATTGACAAACGAATGTGTGTGCCACAAACCTGTGAGTAAACATTTGATTAGAAAAATATCTTGCTGTTTTAAATATGTTACTGTGAAGAAAAGAAAAAGAATGTTTTTTTTTTAATTTACTTAAAATATTCTGCAATAGATTGTTAATAAGAGAACTTAAGGTTTCAAATTTAAGTTTACATCATTCGGTTTCAGTAATTAAAATGAATATGAAGTGAGTTTAACGAAGATTATATTCAGCAAAAAGACAATAATTGAATCATGATCATCAATTTATACTCTAATGAGATGAATTCCTCAATCGATTGATTACTTTTAAGTTTGGGCTATGTCGATCATGTAGGGCTTAAAGGGTTATGAGTACTCTGAAAACAGTTCTGACCTCTAACTGATTGCTACTGACATGCTGTATTTTTCAGGTATATTTTAAGTCAATGTCGTAATATTCCTCAACAACGCCAAGAAAATTCAGTCTCAAGTTTTGAACTCAAACTTTTTCGCAGAAACAGATCTTAACGAGAATAGATGATTGTGAAGGTTTCAGGTCTTTGAAAATTTTTTTTTCCAAAATTAAGAACATCAAATCTACCAACATTCATAATAAAGTATTCTCATCAAGTTCTGTCTCTGTCGAAAGTTTCAAGTTGAAATTTGAAAATCAGTTTTTCTAATGTTTCTAAGAAAGATTACCACATTGACTTTAAAAATACCATAAAAATAGTTCGACAGCTACAAGCTAAGAATCTAAGCTATTCTCAAGTTATTCATAGTTCATTAGAGTCTACATAATGCACATCGTCTCGGCTCAAAAGCAATTAATCAATTGTTGAACTTCTCTAGTAAGACTAACTTTTTGAGCTTACCTAGTAAAAAGTTCGGAAAAAAACTGAAGAAAGCTAGTCTAGACAGAAATGACTTCACCTTCATCCTGTTTTTTCTCTATTTCATAATGAAATGAAGAACAAGATTCCTCAGTAAAAATAACTTCTGAAAATGACTCAATCTACATAGTAATAATTTTGGTTGATAATAAGATTCAAACTGTTCTCAGATATCATAGTATTAAACATAATATATATGATGAAACTGCAAACATAGTTCTTTTTACTACTAAACAATAAAAATGGAAGTTATATGCAAGAATTATTTTCAATGATGTCTATTTTTTAGTAAAAGGAATGAAAATTCGACCTGATCCATTACCATTTCGTAATGATAAACGACGTGATTTTTGTTCACGTTATGATGGTTATGGAGATTTTTGTAGTGGTACGGTGATAAAACTTATTTCAAATCTATTGAATTTATTAAACTCTTTTATTTAAAGATGCAAATGTTGATAAAAGTTTAGCAACTGTTTCATTGATCAATAAAACATTAGAAGATAATCCAATATATTCAACACCCATACTTGTTATTGCTGGTTTGTTTTAATCCATTTGATATTCTATATATATATATATATATTCGTATTCTAGGAATTTCACATAATTCTCTTCGCATGTGTCTAGAAACTTTATTAATGCAACCGGGTGTTCGTACAGAAAATATTGTTGTATGTATAGGATTTAATTGTCAAAAATTTATTTAATAGTTTAAATCTTTTTTTAGGTGGCTGTTGATGAAAAATTTTCTGAACCTCTTGCATTAATTGATCTATTTGGATTTCGAGGAGAAAAAACATCAAGTAGTTCAACATATATGGGTAATTATCAAACTAAGAATATCAATTGAAATACATATTTATTCATTTTAGAACATTATGAAAAATCATTAAATAAAATTTGGGAAATGTATCCAAATAAAGTAAAAAAAAAATAGTTCTATTGATTATTTAAAAAATTTCTTAATATATAACTTTTTTTCATTATCATTAGGATAGTGTGATCGTTATTGAAGAAGACCTTATTTTATCACCAGATTTTCTTTATTTATTAGCATTGTTAAGTGAAACATTTCGAAAAGATGAAACAATTGGTGCAATACAATTATGGAATCCTAATTGTAAAAGAATATTTTTAAAAAGACAAACTTCTTTGTAATATTTTTATTTTTAGCTTATGATATTGTCAATGGTTCGATTGACTTAATGTATCGTGTTGATAATTTCTATGGTTTGGGATATTTATTAAAACATGAGTTTTATAATAAAAACATGAAAAATTCATTTAAACAATGTTGTGGAAAACGGTAGATTTATTGAAGAAATATTTTTTTTTTGTTTTTCTTTGAGGAAATATTGTTTTTTTTTTAATTAGAGTTTGGGATAAATGGACATTTTCAGATACATTATCATCATTTCTTATGCCAGATATTTCACGTGTATTTCGAAAACCTATTGATGGAAATCTTGTTAATACGAAATATTTGGAGATACTTTTTAATCGAAAACGACAAACAAGCTTGTAAGTTTTACTTTAATTATTCAAAGAGACAAAAGAAACATGATTCATCACAATGAGAAAACATGCTCAAACGTTTTTTTCTCGAGAATGACAAGTTAAATATCGACTTGAGTTTTTTTTTTTAGAGAAACAAAATTTCGATTTGAACTTTTGAATAATAACTCATCTTTACCATCAGATATTGTATTTATTTCAAAAAACATCAGCTTTAGAATTTGAAAAAAAAACATACTGACAATTTAATGATGGTTTGGAAATTGACAAGTTCAGTTCTAGTTTAGATCTCAAGACCTGTTGAACATGTTCTGTAATCAGAACTGATCTGTTCGAACAATTTTGCGTTCTGTTCTTGATAAACGCAAATCTCGGTATAAAAAGCCTCTGTTCTGTTTTTTGGGAATGGTATTGCCTGATATAAAAACTAGGGTTACGGATGTGAGTGGGGTGGGGGTTGGATATTTGGGGATTTGGGTTTGATTATGAGTGTGTGTACATGAATTTCAGTTCTCTCTACACTCATAACGGCACATTTGAATATTCACAGAAAAGATTGTGCCGCATATTTGAAATCTGTCATGGCATTTCTCGTTTGCCAAATTTTCAGATGCAAGAGGCGTCTGAAGTTATTTGAAATTCGTAGGTGAACAGGGTATGATGATTTTAGTTGCGTTCAAAATCTAGGACTGATCTGTTATTTAAATTTCAACGAATTTTCGAGTTCGTATGGTTGTTTAAGCCGCTAAAATTCTCACACTTCCAAGAGTGAAGTTGCACTTTTGAGAGTTCCATAAGTTCAGAACTCACGAAAGCCGAACGCATCTCATCGGGAGACAATTAAACAGCGATTTTTTTTTCATCTGAGTTTTTTCTTTTCAAAAAGTTCCTAATTTTTCGGATGACATATAAAATCTAATTGATGTTTGAATATTGAGTATTTCAAAAAGCAATCAATGATTTCAGTTAAAAATTATAGCATATCCTAAGGATTATGAAACCTATTGATAGACAAAATTCTAGGTTAAAAATCCTTTGCTAAATGTTCTTGTCAATATGGAGAAAACGCAACAAAATTGTTGTAACGCTGTAGAAGACCGATGAATAGGAATGTTTTTGGTATTATTCTACTGTACACGTTTTCTTTATATGTTCCATTGGTTGCTATGGTTGAGTGCCTACATTATGCGACATGCACCCACAAGGTGCTGTATGCAAATTCTAGCACAATCAGCTATGAAGTAACCCTAGACAAGTCCCTAATGGCGATTTGTCTGCAGTCATCCGTCCAATAGTATGCAGACTACACCGTGACATACACCTGCTCCTGTAGTTAGTTAGTGCGTATGCGGAGCTCAAGCAAGTGAGAGCAAGAACTCTATATCAAATCCATCTTTTGTCCAGAACTAAAGCTAGTATTAGTTGTAGAGAAGATATCAAACTATTGGATTTGCCACTAGACAGTACTTCGTATTGTAAGATAGCTAATACTAGGAGTATTCTTCTTTTCACATGTTTCAAATATGAGCTCAAGAGTGATAAATTACCTCGGATAATTTCTTCGTACGATAAGTAACTTATTGTGAAAGCTATGTCATAATTAACAGATACTTTCTTCCTCTGAACAAAAGATTTGAATTTAATTGTCGAAAACTTTGACTTGCTAGATTTTTCTGTATTTGTATAATAGCTACCACAGATATAAAAAATTTAAGAAAAAAAAAGATTTCGAATAATTTCATTTATTTTATTATAGAAATCCGTTTCCACCATTATCAAATATTGATACATTACGTAAAGAAAACTATGATGCCTTCGTAATCAAATCGATCAATTCAGCAACATTACTCAAATCTTTAGAACCATGTGAGACAATCAATCTCGATATGTATAATTTAATTAAAAAACAAAACACGTATGAAATTTTAGTTTCTTCTCATTTTAACATTTATTTAATAAAAAAGAAACATAAAAAGTAACAGTAATCTTTTTTTTTTAAATTTTAGTTCGGAACCATTCAAATATATTTACCAACAAGAATCAATAAATGATGTAACATCACTAAAACCACTTTTACCTTGTTTTGGACTATTTTCACAAGAACCACTTAGTCTTTATCTTGGTATTCTTCGTTTTAGTTCAAATAAAAATCAATTTTATCTTGTTGGATCTAAATCACCTTTATATAAAAGTATTTCGACTACGAGCTAAAGAATTATTTATTCTCGTTAATGAATCTCTGTCTTTCTTTTGTTATTCATTAATTTAATGTTGAACTTGCTTTGAACACTCTTATTCGAATGTTCTAGTCTATTTATTGACATTGAATAAACTAATAAATAGAGCAATATTATTATACAACATACACTGTGTTACATTCCGTATAGTTTTCTTTTTTTTCTTTGTTCTTTTTTTATTGTAATCCTTACAATGATGACGGTAAAAGCTTGAACTAGCGCGTGTGTATGCCGTTGGTCATTGTTTAACAAACATATTTTACATTAACTCTTGTTATTTTATTGTCTTTTTTCGGTTTCTTTCTATTAGTATGTGGGCGTTTGAAAATAAAAAGCAACACAAATCTGCAGTGTTTTAAACGCTAATTCTTTTATTTGGGCTTTAATCATTATAAAAGAAAGTTAGGATAATATCATTCTTAATTTTTAAATTAATGCTAAAAAGAAAAAATGAAAAATTCTCAGAATTATGAACGATACTTTTTTGGTCGAACTATTGTGTAATCCGTTGCTATTTGATATCGGCATCATCAATTATCTTCCATTTAAATTAAATATTTCAAGGTTTTTGACAGCTTTCATGAATAAAGTTGATATGGTTCATTAAATATATTCTTGTTATGTTATTTTTATTGTTTTTACTAATTAATGAGGGAATCGTTTCCAGTGATATATTGTTTTTGAGTCCGAACTTCACGTATAAATTAGACCTCCAATGAAGAAGAGAAAGTCTTGAGAAGAAGAATGCTGTTCGACCTTCTTACCAAAGTTATAGCCGTCTTATGGAAGTTTTAAGCCGCAACACGGTATCTGATTGAAAAAACTGAACTTTGGCCTATAGCTAGGCCTACTTATGATAAGCATATTTCCTTCGTGAGATATTGAATTTTTAAAAAATCTGAAATCGGCACAACATTCGCGGAATATAAGTGATTTTTGGAAATTCTACATCTGGTAAAGAAAACATTCCTTTTATCAAAATTGCTCAAAGCATTCTAGTCACAAGTAGACCTATCTGTAGACCAAAGTTTAAGTCGAAATATTCTTCATTCAATTTATTAGTACAAACTCTCTCATATCCTTAAATTCTCGTAAAACTGCTATAATTCTAGAAGGAAGGTCTAAGGACATAATGCACTCGTGTATGCAGCAACTGTCAGCATATATATTTTCTCATCATAACAATACGAAACACAAAAGAAAGCAACAATAGAAGAAAGACAGTGACACAACAAAACGTACACAATGATAAGCGCATGCATAGAAAACAACTACCTATCTGATGAAAATATCATGCTCCATTGATTTACATAAACATACGTAAGGTTAGAAAAATAACACGTTATGTCATCAGCGATAAATACGAAACAGTACTCATGATCCAGGAATTGAAAACGCGATAGAATTGCTAGAATAGTACAAAAGAAAACATCGCTGCATCTATACGAATAACGAGAAATCAAGGATCTCAAGACTATCCAAGAAGTTCAATAGAATTCTAGATGCCACAAGTAAAAGTAAATTTATAACTCTATAGATATCCAAAGAAATCAAGAAATTCTAAGAATTCTAATTAACTCCTTGAATTCCTTCGTTTCAACCCTCATCGACAGGGACTAAAACTGCACTATGACAGCCAACAATAGAATTCTATCCAAATTACTCAAATTTCTCGATTTCGTTGATGTCTGTTTGCTTGTACTGTATAGATACAGTTTTGTCGTTAAATTCTAGAAATTCTATAGAATTTCTGATTCTTGGATCATGTATATCTCTGACAAATTATTGTGTAAAATATTTAATAAATTGACGTTCGACGGACACAATATCATTGAAGTCGATAACTCGGCATCAGAACATTGTAAATACTATTCATATACGTAATGGATACAAAAGAAAACAATAATTTTATATTTTCAATCATGCATGCATAGAAAATTTATATAAATAAAAATATGAAACCATGTTAATATATAATTTTTATTGCAATAAATTTCATAATCATTGTGATATTAAATGAATGAATTCCTAAAACTATGCTATCGATTTATGTTCACGAAACTTATTTGTATATTATTCTTGATTATAATGGTGACCATTTTTAATATAAAGTTTTGATGAATAAATACTCGTTGATACATTGACTAGTATGTATATAAAAATGTGATCTCTTACTTTTTATTTACTTGTTCGATGACGTTAACTAAAGTACAATATTGAAATGTTCTTGAATAGTAAAAAACTGAAGATTTCTTAATCGTTATTGAACTGGAATATTTCTTATCAGAAATGATTAATGAATAATAAAATAATTTACAGCATAGACGTGCAATACTCACGCAAATGGTTAGCTCACACCTTAATGCCGTGTATGGCTCAAAATTTGGCGGTAGCTTCGTCTGAAAAATTTTGAGCGCGATGCGAATACGGTTGTGTGGTCTGATCATTTTAGAAGTTAAACAGCTCTCAAAGGCTCGTATAAATGCGATGTGAAGCGATTTCACTTTTCGACAATGAAATTTAAATAAACATAAGAACGATAAGCAATTTCACGTAGGGTCAACCATGTCCTGTCAAAGGTTTTCTTCATCTTTCCTACCTACAATAGCTGACTGGAGATTAGCTCATCAATTTTAATTATGTCGGTTAAAGCAAGAAGAGCAAATCATCACAATTATTGTTTCACAGAACTCACTGAAGATTCAAAAATGTTTGTACAAATTTTGTTAGTACCAAAAATACGCCCAGTATGCGGACCGAATGTATATGTGACCGACCACATAAATGCCATGCTTCACACTGCATTAAAAAGTCGTCGAGTTTAGATATTGTTTTTAACTGTAATAAATCATAAGATGAATAGAAGAATATATCTTGTCGTATAATTTAAAAAGCAGTTCGGAGTAATGCAAAGACCATATTTTAATTTACATGAAATTGATTGTTACTCAATTGAGAAGGAAGAATTAGAATCAATTTTGTTCCATTTAGTATTACTTATGTGATTTAGGTATGCATTCGTCCCAACTCGATAGGTTATTTATAGACCGGACCATCACTCACTCTGAAGGAAGTGGGTATAGACGTGAGTTCTCTCTTTACTCACACGTTGACTTATTACGAACTATTTTCCTTATCTTTCATCCGGTCTTTTCAATTTTGATAGATAAAGTCGATTCAATTTAAGCTGATCATCTCTTTATATATTAAATAAAAAAACATGCTAAAGACTCTGTTGACATTTTATCCTTTCGGCCACAGTTAAGATTATCCTATTCTTCACTGTTCAATTTCTATTTATATGATTATCAACCGATGTTTTGAATTCATTGATTAATATAAAATTGTTTGTTCTTCGTTTTGAAAAGGAATATGTCATACGTTATTAAATGTTTCTTAATATGAAAAATGTCCTTATTTGGAACATAATGAAAAAGTATATTTATGTCTCGTGATCAAATAATTTCTTTTGACTGAATTATTTTGTTATGTACGAAGACAAAAGCTATGGCATAGCACAATCCACTAGAAAGATCTACATATTATGAATAAGTGTTAATGATTCATTCATATATAAATACTTTTCTATGGTCATTTTAAGATTTATGTGTGAGTGTGCTTTTCATAATGTCATTGTTATGTAAGATTAAATTTAATAAGAGAAACCATTTAAGATTTTTACTTGACAACTTTTACAATAGGCAAACATTCGATAAGAAGACATATTAATGAAAAAAATTTAAAAAAACGTTTAAAAACTTAATGTTTGATGAGATGCTGACGTAACCATAGAAGGCGAGATGTGTTTTTCTTATTGTTTTGATAATAATTTTTTTTTTGAATTAATTAAAGACACATGGTGTTTATTCTTCCTATCAAGGTATATTTATCGTCAACCTTTCTGCTGTCTTCTAGTTTTCATCTATTTCTAAAGCAGCTTCATTATTCTTATGTGATGTGTAGTAAATGTTTTCAACCAAACCTTTATATTTGTATTATCATTTTTTTTCTCTTTCTTCTCTTCTCTCTCTCTTTTTTTCTTCAATTGATCCATTTAAATATTTGTTTGTTTTGCGACTTCATCATTTATGTCAAACAAGAAGACTTGAAATGTGAAGTTGTTGTGTAATGATCGAACGAATGTCTTGAGAACTAAGCGAAACATTTAATGTATTCATAAAGAATAGAAAAATCATTCATAAGAATGAAACAAATGGAAAATGTGCGTTTGAATATCATGAGAAAATTTTTTTTTTTTGTGTTCGATGACTTTTGTTTGTTAGTGTTGTTTTTGTCGTTCGTCAAAACTATGATGATTGCTCATTTTATTCCATCGGTTTCTCTACTTGTTTGTCTTTGAATAAAAAACATCGTCAAATCGTTTATAGTTTGTAACCATTTACAAAATATACAAATCAATCAAAATGCGTCTAAAAACACTTCGTAAAGAACGACCAGCATTTGAGATCGAAGGTAAATATCGAATAAAAGTTTTTTTTTTTTTTAATTTAACAATTTTTCTTTATTCGTTATTACAAAAATAATGTTCGTGTCTATTAGGTGCTGTTGTCAATGGCAGTCGAATGGATATATCAAATAGTGATATAAAAGCATTTAGACATCGATCTAACACTTTATTTGCTTTCCCAACATCTCTACATACGGAATCATCTACTTTAACTGTTTCACCATTGGATCACGCTAATGAAATGAATTGTTATTCTCGCGAGCAAACTATTATTCCAACAACATCTCAACCTTCAAATATTTCACCTTATCAAGCTATTGAAGCTGCTTATCTTGAACATGGTATTCGTATACGTTTAAGTCCATCGAGAACAGCTGCACCAGGTCAACAATCAGAAAGAAAATCTGCTAATAGCTTTCAACGACATTCAGCATTTATTAATCGACATCCGAGTCGAACATCGAGTGTTCTTCATTATTCAACAACTAATCAAGATCACTGTAATGATTCTCGATCATTTAGTGCATTACAACAAATATCTTCAAATGATTTTGAACAAACGCATGAATATAATGTCTCATATGCACAATCATCACAAATACAAGAAGAAACACATGAAGATTATTATTCGTCATTGATGAAAACTAATGAACATTGTAATCCTGCAAATTCACCAGAACTAATTTCTATGAAAAATGGTATAATATCTTCAACAACGATATGTAATAATGATCCTGATCTTATATATATGACTTCATTAATGAATCAGCCAAGTGGAGAATGTGTTCGAGGTAAATAAATGACAAAAAGAAGACAGTAAAAAATATTCACCTTTTTTGTTTTATGATCATCAACTGATAGTTTTCTTTTGTTCTTGAAACTATTTTTAAAAAAATTCAATGACGTTTCTTTTCTTTTTTTAATCATTTTTTTGTATAGAAACGATTCGTCGACGTGCTGGTTTACGAGGAACATTTGCTGTACATCGAAATCCATTAGCAGCAAATTCTATTCAACCTCAACAGTATCTTCGAGAAAAATCACCTAATATCAATCGAACCTCTTTAACACGTAATGCAACTATTGCAGTTGTTCCAACATCATTACCACAAAAAATTGATAATGATATTCTTAAACATGCATCACGTATTCGAAGAACAAGTGTATCAAAAGATTATTCAATCAAATCTCCAAGAACAAATACAACCTCTATTTTTAGTTCACCATCAAGAACTAATACAATTTCTATTGCTAGCTCACCATCAAGACCTAATACAGTTTCTGTTGCTAGTTCACAATTAAGAAATGATGCAATTTCTATTGCTAATACACCGTCAAGAACACATATAATTTCTATTGATAGTTCACCACGAAGAGCTAGTACAATTCCTAGTGCTAACTCATTATCGAGAGCTAATACGATTGCGATCTCTGGTGCATCACTAAGAACTAATAATAATAATAATCATAATAATAATAATTACTATTCTTATAAGCGAAATTCAATCAACAAATCATTAAAATCAATCAACCCAGTAAGTTGTAACACTATCTTGAATATTTTTGTATTTTTTGTCGTTTCCCGATGAATATGATGAATAATAATGGTGACGGAAATCAAGTAATTAGATACACAGAAATTTATGTTTTAGATATGATCATATAAATCACTGTTATATTTCACATTTTACATGTTTGTGATATACACCTATCATAAGTCTTTTTTGTTTTATTAATACAAAAATTTTTATTAAAATTTAAAATATTCATCTATAATTTTCTTAGGAACCACTTGAAATGCTTCTAACGCCAACACCACATCCTACACCGTTGTCTATGTACGATGTACCTCCAATAAAGTCATCATCAATCAATCGTAATCTAAAAAAATCAATAAAACGGACTAAATCAGCTGTAACTCCAACTGTTCAAAATTCGAATACCACTAATGTTTCATCAAAAGATCATTCAATTTCATCATCAATATTACGTGATGAAAGTTTATCGTTAATGAAAACATCTACATCAGATGTAGTTCGTCAATCAAATTCAATTGACTCAGGTTGTTATGATCGAAGTAGTAGTGGTGGTGATATACAAAGTTTTACATCTTCAAGTATGGTACGAATACAAAGTTCAATACCATCAACACGATTAACTAGCTCAGTAGCGCGTCGTTCAAACTCACATAAAAGAGTTTCGTTCTATGAAGAACCTACAGCAGTTATATTAACAACAGCAACTTATGTATAAAAAAAATGAATTATACGCAATTAGATCGAGTAGTGTGTGTGCGAGTGTGTGTGTTTATCAGCACTGTCCTTTTTTCATACTTGAAATGAAACTAAAAAAAAAGCATGAGTATTCATGTTTATAACAATAAGAAACAGTATTGACAATCATGATGAAGTCATAAATATGAGCAGGTATCATCAAGAATTTATTATCAATTAAGACAAGAAAAATTCATATGACTGACGAAACATAAAGTAAACAAGAAGATGTATCTAACAACAAAACTATGATTTATTTCAAAACAAAAAGAATGCTGGTAGTTATTTTTTGAATAACTTTTGATAGAAGCAACGAAAAGAGCTGAAGCTTTCACCATTCAAGAGAAATCACATTGGACCATAGTAGTGCATTGAAACCTGATTGACCAACAGTTGGATCATTCGGGAAGTTCTTAGCAAAGATTTTGAAAATGAGATTCTGAAGTCATTATCTAATATATTTGGCATATAATATAGCTAGCCCGTAGAGAAAAGCCTTCTCTATCCATTTACGTAAGTGTCAACTTTATAGCCGCTTCTGCTCAAGAGTGGCAAGGATTTTCTTGAGATCTCCTGATTCCAGCACAATGCCTTTGAAAAGCTTTAAAAGAGCTTCATAAACGGGTAATTTGTCATGTAGAGTCGAATGATGAGGTTTACTTTTAGCTTCAAAGCATCTTCGGATCAGTATTGAGACATTTTCACAACTTCGATGTTCATGTTGAATAAGGAAAAAAAAGTATATTTTCCAAAGAGATCGATAGACGTATTTCTGACTATACGATTTTAATGTTTTGTTAGATTTCAGCTAAGAAATGATTTATTTAAATAATGTTGCTTTCTTTTGTCAAAATCTTTTCTTAGAAAGAATTTGAAGGTTAAAAAATCAGAGATTATTTCGTACGATTACACATGAAGCAATCAAAGTTACAATAATATTTTTTTTTGGAATAAATAGAAAACGAGTTATTTTGTTACTTGAAGAAAAAAAAACTTATTTTTTTTCCATATGTTTTATATTCATTTATGATATTCATGAGAACAGTAGGCAGATAGAATAAAAACTAGATTAAAAACAATTCAACTTTTCAGAAATTCATGCTAGTATTTTACTAATAAGTTTTACTTGAGCTAATCAATTTTAGTGAGTAATCACAAAATGGACGAGTGAGTTTTTAGCGATTTAAACAATTTATTAGGATACATATAGATGTATTGGAAAAAAAAATGAAAACTTATCAACTGTCAAATAAATGGCTATTGACAAACTATTTTTTTATTATTGTTTTCACGATAATACTATGATTTTGCTTATTCAATCTCAAAATAAAAATAAAAAAATATAAAAACTATTATGGTTCAAATTAAAAAAAAACAAAGTTTAGCATATATTCCATGATCTATTATCACAAGACATAACCAAAGTAGGAGTGCACCAGTACAAGAACACTGAGTATCAGTACTTTGTCAGAAACTACAATTATATTAAATGCCTTAAATTTTGACAAAAAAGTGCTACTGGTTTCAGTCTCTATACTAATCCTATGGGTATCAGTATTATTACGGGTGAAATCATTCATCATGAGTTAAAGACTATATTTGGTGACCAAATCTATGAAATTGCATATTCAATGGAAAATAGAGAGAATGAAGTTAAATAAAATCCAAATAGTCTTTCAACAGGAAATAACAAATCAGTTGGATTCTCTAATGTTTTCATGGTTTGTAGAGTTTCTGCATAGAACTGAATATTTTCATTCTATCTGTATCATGTTTGAGGAAGTCACGTAGTTTTAATGAAAATCGTATAGTAATCAAGCAAATGAACAAGTAAAAAGTTGAAAACTTGACTATCGGTAGTTAGCAGATTTAAATTTTTTTTGTCATATTATGTTATATATTATTTTGTACCTGTGAATGACCAATGGATGAACATCATTTGCTCATTAATCAGATGAAAACCTGATATGGAAACGTTGTTTAGTTTATTATATTCAAGAAAATACGTGATCAAATTTATAACATTCCAATACTAGTCATGTTTTTTTGCTTGTTTGCAATAGTTTAGATAATGCTGGATTTAATTCAACATAAAATTCATGAAATCCAAAACGATACGTCAGAAATTCTGACTATAACTTCATCGAAAATTAAATCAATAGTTTTGAAGAAATTGAACATAAAAACAACGAGATTTTACTACTAACTCATCAGAACATTGAACCTTTAAAAAGAATCAATTAAGCAGCTTTTGAAATGAAAATATTGATTGCTATCCATTCAGTTTCAAGATAACTTTCTTATTCGTTATATTCTCTTACTTGTTAGTGATATAGATACATGAAAACTAGGGAACTACAAAATCACTTTTTTTAGACCCGGTCCCGGTCTTTGACAATGGCTTCATTTCTAAAATCGAGCAACTTTTTTTACGATCTGTGTCTTTTATGAATACATCAAATTGACATGAATGATTTTGATTTATTAACAGTACGAAAATTCTTTTGTATTCAGTGTTAAAGTGAAAGAATTTCACGGAAAGCTCGAATAAATAAAAATAACCATTGAATTTTGTTAAAAATTCTTATGTACTTCGTAGCAATCATTTACTTATTTCTCTCTTCTTTTATATCTACTCCTCTACCTAATGGATTTATTATCGAATTGATTATCTATACTGAGTAGCTATTACGATTGTCAAAAGAAAAATAAACGGCGACACATATCTATTTCCTATTATCTGATAAGACTTAAATAAAGGAATCATCAAACAATGAACGAATTAAATTTACGTATATAGTGTTGTGTGGTTGTTTTATATGTATTCAAAAACCTGTGCAATTGGAAAACTCAGATTCTTGCAAACAGACTCGTAATCAGTAAAGACTTTTATAGACATAGCAAATAAAAATATTTGATTTACAGATCTTTAATCATGTCAAAATAATAAACGTGAAAATATATTGCATAAAAACTGACCGGGACCAGTGTGAAAATTTTTTAGTCCCAGTCCCGGTCCCGGTGGAACTGGGACCACTTTGCAGTTCCCTAATCAGAAGTATTGTCACCTCACTCAATTCATTCAAAATTATTTCAAAACGATGTTATTTATAACATTTTACATAATCTAGTTTGTTCTACGCTATCACCAGATCTTTTAGCAGTTGGTATTTTTCGGAATAAAGACAAAAGCCAGAAATAAAAACTTATTTCTTAATTTTTCAAAGATTCATTACTTTGTTGAACAATTTTTTCTCTTTGTTAAGAATAAAATTTTATATTAATTCGTATCATTATTTATTCAATGATCATTTAATATCAAAATGGATGATAAACAAAAATTCAGAGTAGTTTTGGTTGAATATTAGCATAAGTTAAAAAATTCATTAACAAAGAAAAGATCTACTACAATGGTTAGATATAAATTGTGAAAAGAAAAACAAACTCAACAATCAACAATTAAAGCAATTCAGAAGAAAATTCAATATATAAAAAAAAAAAAATCCAAAAAATTTATCACACCCAAGTTGTAAATAGACGCGAAAAAACAACAACGTTTGTGGAAGAAAACGAATTATTACTGTTACATGTTAGTATCTGCAAAGAAGAACTAATTTTAAAATTCTTTTATATGCAGTGCATTATTTGATTATTCGTAAATGATCTATTATAAGTAAAATTTTGATCTGTAATCAGTAATAAATTATTGTTGTTAGGATCATTAATCTTTGTTCTTTTAAAACAAAACTGATATTTCTTTGAAAATAATATTAAATACGGGTATATGTGTAATTAACTCTGGTTTTGAATAAAGAAATATTGAAAATATAACCAATATGGTACCCACAGCAAATAAAAATGTTAATTGAAAATCAAAAAGTCCTATACTAATAACACATGATATAATAATAGCTGATGATGTTGCAAAACCTTTCAATATATTATCAGCATATTTAACAACTAATGCAACAAGAAGACCACCTGCTGATTGAACTGTTATTGCTACCCATACCATATCAGTATAACCAAATAAAAAGCCTTTTGTTTTTACTTGTGCTCCATCGGATATATATACGGTTAGAAATCCGAATAACATACCAAATATACCTAATTGAATATTACGTATCCACACAGATACGTCACTACATTTGAGAATCTTTTCAAAGTATACACCGGCTAAACCGCTTAATATGCCTAAAGTTCATTATGTTTTAATTTCAATTAAATTGAAAAATTTAATAATATAGAACTTACAAGCGCTAACAACAGAAATTAATCCTAATACAGCATTGACATCGTGCTTTAGTGCTGTTGATGTCATATTCTCGATTTGTACTAGAGATATACCAAGAAAAAGAAGAAATAATGCAAGCCATTGAACAAGATTTAATGGACGACGAAGTATCAGCACCGTAAAAATAGCTGTAGTAAAGATTTTTAATTGAAAGCTGACCTGAAAAAAATCAAAGTCAATCAAAAAAGGCCCATTGGCAAGTACTGATAATGTACGAGAGAAAGGAATTAAATTTAACTTAAGAGGATCAAAGATACTTATAGAAAGATATGTATATAACGTTTCAAAATTAATTTTCATAACTCATTGTATTCCTCATAATCGTTCCTTGAAAAGTGTAAACCGTCTTAATTCCTTTTAAGTTTGTTGTAAAGGCGAATATTTTACTCCACAAACTCTATAAACTGATTCATAGATTGAATTGCAACTAACGTCTAGCGATCACATATGTTTCTAGGACAGGGATGTGTATCCTAGTGGAACTTTTTCTGTCCATGCGCATGCGGAAAAAAGTTTCGTGATAGAAAGTGCTATTGCAAGTTTTAATTACTTTCTTCATCGAACTCTTTTCTTACTAAGAAATGTTTGATTCAGGAAAATGTATTTACTGATTTTTCATCACTGTCTAATAAGGGAAGCACTCAAACTGACATCCATCGTTAGTTCATATAGAGTCCGCACAAAGA